GAGTCTAGGTGAAAAAGATGGTTGAGGCTCAGTCCAGAGAACTGCAATGATGTCCACATTGGACTAAACACTTGGGTTGTGGTATATATTCACTCTCTTGGGAATGGCAGGCAAATTATGAACTGCAGACAAGTTAATAACTGGATGGTCTTATGGTAGTCCTACTACTGTATGCTCACCAGGGACCCAGGTTTTCCATTTGCTGCAGAAAAATGGGGATTTTCCTCTATTTAAAGGAGAAAATCACAGGAAATAGTGGGTTTCCCCTGGCATTCCAGTCTTCAAGGAGCTGCTTGGGGCATGTGGAGGCAAAGGGCACCAAGTGCATGTGCGCGCGCACACAGATATGGCTGGCATGCTGCCAGGCTGGGTGGTGGAAGCAGCCCTGGAAGCTGAATGCAGGCAAGTCTATGGGGGTTGGAGGCCTGGGGCTTGGGGACTGTCCAGGGGGCTATGGGGTAGGGAGGAAGGGGTATAGCAAGGCTGTGCGGTGGGGATGGGTGTGTAAGGTGGGGCAGATGCCTGCCAGTGCTGAGCGAAGGTGTCTGGGCATGGGCTGAGCAGGGCAGGGTTATGGGGTGGGGGGGACACTGTCCCTCCAGTGGGGTAGGAGGCCCTTTGGGGTAGGAGGGAGCTGCTTAGCCAGGTTGGTGGCATGGGGCCAGTGCTCCTGCTCACAAGGGTGGGCCAGCCTGGAGATGCTGCCCATGGGCGAGGTGGACCCACATGGCTAAGCTGCCTGGCATAGCACAGAAGACCCAATCCAGGACGGCAGATGCCATAGGCCTCCACTCTTCCCTCCAGCTTGTGCTGGGGTCACACTTGCTATACCGCTGCCCGCACAAGTCAGAGCCACTGCAGCTGCTGTGCTCTGGCCCAGGTGGGATGGGCAGCCAGGGGGCTCCTCTGGCAGTGTGGGGGGGGAGAAGGAGGCTGCAAACTGGGAGTGAGGGGCACTGGCAAGGCTGGGGGGACTGTGGCTTGGGAGTGAGGAGCACCTGGGGGGTGGCGGGGTCTGTGGTTTGGGATTGCAGGGCACTAGCATGTTCCAGAGGAGGTGGTAGACTGTAGGTTGCAAGTGAGGGGCACTGGTAGAACCAGGGGATTGCAGGTTGGCAGGGAGGGGGCTGTTGGTTGGGAGTGAGGGACACCAGCATGGACTGGGTTGGGGAGGGTGGGGGGCTGTAGGTTGGGGGAGAGGGGCACTGGCAGGGCTGGAGGTGGGACTGTCTTGTGAGTGAGGGGCACCACCAACATGGGTAGGGGCAGGGTACTGGTATATCAGTGTTGCTCAGTGCCGCAAACAGCAGGGGGAGGACAGCTGCAGCTGGACCTGTGTCCTGGTGAGCAAAGTGGGTAGTGGGAGTTCTGATTTTTCCCTGATAATTTGTTTTGTTTTGTTGTTTTTTTGTCAAGCACCAAAATATGTAGATATTTAGAATTTATTTTATTATAATTGCAGTACTGATAGGATTCCAGATTATTTTTAAATTGTAAATGTATCAATAAAACATTGTGTGAAATTGATATGTGTATATATAGTAGTGTTTCATTTTAGTTGTGGAAAAACATAGATTTTAGTAGTTTTTATCAGAGAATTTGCAATTTTTAAACAGAAAACTAGGATCCTTGATGCTCACATAGTAACAGTTAGACTGGGAAAGCTATTTTATTTTATTTTGTTTTGTTTTTTAACATGGGTTTAGGTAGTCTCTCTTGGATGCATGCCTTGCTATTCTCATTTCTTAATAAGATTGGATTTAAAATGCTGTGTGGGATTACACTTGATCTCCAGCAAAACCTGGGGCAGAAGGTAGTCACTTACTTAAAAGGGTATCTTGCTGTAAGACCATAGCACTAATAAAGTGCTCTAGAATCTGCACTGGCTGCCTCTTGATTTCCAGGTGGAATATAGAAGGTGTTGGGTCTGGCTGAAAACCCTAGTAGTTTCTCTTTTTAACATATGGCCAGAGCTCTCCCTGTGCAGTAGTAATACCAACCCTGAGATTGAATTTAACCTACCTAATAAAAAGCAGGGCAGAGTGGCATCTTCAAGACCATAACTCAGTCTAAGTTAACTCTCAGATTGCTATCCTGTCCTATATTCTGACTTAATACTAAGAGAGCTAATTACTTCTCTAAGTGTCAGAAGATTTGGAAAAATAAGTTGTTATGACTATCCCTCAACTTTGGAGTTGTGGCCCTTTGGCTACAAATATTAGCATGCCCCAGTGTCAAGAGTGGACATTTTAAACTTGAAGGATTATGTGACATTTTTCTTGGAGACAGTATCTTTTAAGATGATAAATTTCAGGGAGTTGCGGAGAGGCGCCTGTCATCTGCTATTCTAGTTGGATTGTGTGTATAACTCTATAAAGGATATGTTTATCTTTCTTAATTTAATTGTAAAAGACATAGGAAATGACTATTGCAAGCTTTATGCGTGTAATGCTTTTTTCTTAATTTGAAAAGGCTGGTAGTAGAAAACTTTCCTGTTTTCATCTTCATCATCACTTCTAAGATGTCTACTTAAGCAACCCCTTCTAAAGTACAGTAAAATCCCTGTTATCCAGCATTTGAGTAACCGGAACACACTATTAACTGGAATTTCCAGCTGACCAGGAGCTGGTGGGGGGAACTCTGAAAACTGCCAGCCTCAAGTAAATGACATTTTTAGGTACCTGGCACCCCTCATTGCCCACTTGTGCCACGTAACAGGGATTTTACTGTATTTATTTTCTAACTTTCTGTAAATCATGAATATGCAAGTTATTGATGCATATTGATTAATTTGCAGTGAATATACTGCTGTGAAATTATTATTAGAGTATGTTCCATGTTCTACCTTTTATTCTACAGGGATTTGTTACAATGATACTGCAAAGCTCAGAAGAAATAAATAATATAAGCTATGTTTGGCGTGGACTGAGAGAACAGCTGGGTATTGATATTGATAGGAAGGTGCACAGACTGTGTTTTATCAAGGGAAGGATGGTAAGATTGAAAATCCTATTTTCATAGTTTATCATACTGAACTCTTAAGGTTGTGGACTTCTTTATAGCAGGAGAGAAAACTAATTGCCTCTGAACATATGGCCTGTGGACTGGATCTGGTCTGCAGACCTGGAGGGCAGGGCAGTCCTCAGCAGTGGGGACCTTAGCTTGTGCCGGTCATGGGTGGGAGCTGAGCCCATGCTGAAACTGAAGGGGTGAGGGAGGTGCCATTGAGAAGCAGTGACAGAGAAAATGTGGCAGCCAGGTCAGAACACCTGCCTGCCTTGGACTTGAGCTGGGTTGTTTCAGCCTGCAGCTCCAGAAAGTTGTTGACAACCATTTTAAAGCATTATCATCTAGATCAGTGTTCCTCAACCCATAGGTCATGACCCAAAAGTGGGTTGCAAGAATATATGAAAGGGTCACAAACTGAAAAAATGGATTTTCCCTTAAAGGAGAAAAACATGGGAAACCACAGCCTTTTCCTTGCAGGCTGGCAGAGTTCCATCCTGCAAGGGGCTACTTGGGGGCAGGGGCATGCCCCTGCCCCTGCCCCCATATGCTCACCTCCTGCCCCACACACCAGGGGCTTGGGGCATGGAGGTTGGGGGCAGTGGGTTGGAAGTGAGGGCCACTGGGTCAGCACTGGCCATCAGTGTTTACATTTGGGTCCGTCATACAAAAAAGCTTGAGAACCACTGATTTAGATCTCCAGTTCTAAGAGGGCTCAGATGGGTAATTACCAGCCTAACAATGTTGCACTCAGTGATCAGTGAAGTCACTGCAATGACATTAGACAATGTACTTTTAATTTTAAATCCTTAAAAGGCACATATATTACTATAAGTAATGGGCACTGTTCTGTGATTTGTGTAAGTGTATAACAGGGTTCTTGAAGAAGACAGTAGTCATTTCTGAAATCACTTGACATTTTTGTTAAACGTAATACCTGTATAATGTGCAAGATTATAATTTTTTTGTGTCTACAGGTATACGTTGTGCACTTTACAGTGTTTGCTATCTAGTAATTAGTCAGTTCCAATATTTCTGTTTTTATGGGTCACAGCAGTTAACAGAAACTTTCTCTTTTAAGGCTTAAAATGTGTGAATGACATGAGTATGTATAGACCCAGCTCTTTAAAATAGTTTGATTTTAAGTAAAAGAGCAATTAGTAATTGGGTCTGTCTTCTATTTGTAAGTATTTTTATCCTTAAAGTAGAAGTGTATTGTAATGAATTTTTGGTTTGCAGACTTTTGAAGAAAAGTATGTAAACCCCATTCTTCTAATATTTAATTTTCTGAAAATGTTAACAGTTGTGAAATTCATATACAATTTACCAATTTCATTTTGGGAACTTCCAGTTTTAAGTCCCTTTTCAGGATACTTACAATAGTAGAGCATATTATTCTCTCTCTCCTAAGCTATTTTTCAATTTTTTTCCTTTTCAGATGTGATTTTTTTTTTTTTCTTTCTAGTAATGTTTGATGTTGTCTACATTGGATTTTAGTACCCCTGCTTGGTGTGACAGCTGCCTACAAAATAATGCTCTGAACAGTGTGGGCAAGTGTTGTATGCACGTGGCTTTCCTTACCTATAACTGGTAACGCACACCCTCTGAATCACTTTTGGATGGCTGATTATTACTTGAAATCCTGTTTAGCCCAACTGGCCTGTCTGTCAGATTAAGCCCTTCCTGAACCTGAAATCCAGGAGGTTTCTATTCTAAATCTAAATGTTTTTACCCATTGTACATTTATCAATCCTTTTCTTTTCTTGGATTAAAACAATATGTCCAAAAGAATGTACAAGCCAAGTCTTGCGAAAGATGGTGCAGAACAGTTCAGGAAATGAAGAGCAGTATATTTATTGGCAAAGATGGAAATACACATGGAAGAAAATGGCTTTGCAGGAGAAAAAACCATGAACATGCAGCTAAGGAAGTGATAGCTTCTGTAGATGAGCAAAGTATGATGTGTTGCTCCATAACTTGTTGATTTTTTTTTGTTTTTTTCCAAATGTAGAATTTTTATATCTTCAAGTTAAACTTGGCTCTGCACAATTGCCTGCAATATAGTACTGCTTTGTTTTGTTTCAGTGTTGTATGTAACAAACTGATACTGAAATTACTCTCTTTTTAGGGTGTATGTTTTGATATTCTTGCTTCAGATCTACGAGAAATACAGGTACTTATTTCAGTAGAGTTCTTAAATTTATAGCAGGAGATCCCAAACGCTTTCATAACATAGATTTGCCTCCTTTCTCTGTCACTTTTGCTGGACTGAACTCCATAGCCAAACTTAATACTTACAATCACAATGAAAAACAATTCCTACCATAACTTTCCTTCACCCTGAATTTAAAACAAATTCCTCCAATAAATGTGATATGAAATCTGTTTTTCCTTTGATCAAATCAGGTTTTGATTTTTTTGTTTGTTTTTTTTCACCTTGTTTAGTTCTACTTCTTACACTACAGTCTCTGTTAACAAATTAATGTGGAACTTTCCTTGGTTTGCTTCAGCTTCTCCAGTCAATCTGCTTGCTAAAATGCAGTGGTCTTTGGTCTCTCCAAAAACTTCTGAAATCAGATTTGCTGCAGCTGTTATTTCTTCCGGTACACTGGGCTGCTTTCATTTTACTAATCTCGTTCAGATGGCAGGGTAGGGTTTATAGATCAGGGTTCAGCAACTTATAGCCAGAGCCATTGGATATGGCCCATTGACCTGGGGTCTTGGAAGCATTTGTGGGCATTGGTGGCATTTTGTGGGCTTTGCTGACACCATGCTGTAGCTAAGCGGTGGAAAGCTTTCCTGTGCTGTGCCACAGCTGGACAATGGGGGACAAGCAGTGACAGTTGGGTTCTAGTGCCAGCCCACCTTGGATCTGAGCTGAGCTATTCCAACCCACAGCCAGAAAATGTTTCTGACCAGTGTTAAAGACTAATTTGTTCAGAGGGTCATAAGCAATTAGTAGGCTACACAGCCTACTTTGTTAACAGACTTGTGGAGAGAAGGCGTACTAAGTAGGAAGGAATAAAGTTATTCAAATACAAAGGATGAGGGAAAGGGGAGAAAGGTGAATGCAGGTTGAAGAAATCAAAAATGGTAAATAAAGCAGTTAACCCATTGAGGGACATAGGGGTTATAACAACTAGTTCAGGTAATTGAATAAGAATACAAAGTCTCCATTGAGATCATAATTAAAACAGTCCAGTCTGTGGATGATGTGTCCTGCAGTTCAGCATTCAAATTACTGTTTTTTCTTTTAAAGTTTTGCTGTTTCAGAACAGCTGCTCTGAAGTCAGTGATGGCCTGTCTAGGGAGGTTAAAGTCCCCTGCCACAGGTTTTTGTCTTTCTAGAATTTACATCGTTAGTATCCTTTTTTTTTCCATACAGTGACTGCCCTTTTTGTCCAATGAAAACAGCAGAGGGACACTATAAGCAGGTGGTGGCATATGTGATTGTGGTAAAGGAGCAAGTGAATGAACTCTGGATGCTATCTATTTGGGCTCTCTAAATACAGATCTTTCCTACTATGTACTTTTGCTTGCTCTCTCAGTAGTGTTCCCTTCTATCCTCTCTGTTTCCCTATTTTATGTATTTAAATTACGTTATTCCTTTCTGTTTAGTACCTCTGAGCTCTGAAAAAATTGATTTGTAGCATCTCATGAAGTAGGTTGCAGCCTAAAAAAGCTTGCGCCTCTCTGAACTAGTTAGTCTCTAAGACGGGAGAGGCAATTATTTGGGCTGGAAGACCACTTGGGAGTATTGGTGAGCACTTGAGGGCTGGATCAGCACCCACCCTCTCCTGGCCCCCAGCTGCTCACCAAAACTCTGTAAGTGACTTGGCTGTGGGGCCTGGCTCCACATTGTGATCACTCAGTAATCCTGCCCTGGCGTCTCCATAGAGACCAACCCAGGACCCCTGTAGAAAAGGTGCTTGACCTGGTGGATGGGGTGGGGCTGTGGACAGGTGGGGAGTGGGGTGGATGGTCAGGGCCAGACTTGCAGGACAGTGACAATGAAGGGGCCCAGGCCCAGGGCTGAGCCATGATCCGCTCCCAGCACACCCCTGTGGAACTGGTGCCCATCACAGGGATGTGCAGGCAGCAGATTGTGTCTCTGCCTGGGTGCATTGTCACTGCCCTGTGATCCTGACCCCAGACCCACCTGTCTGACTCTGGTGCCACTCCCCATCCACCCATGGCCCCATCCCATCCACCCAGCCAAGCACACTGTGCCCATGTGGGTCCCAGGCCAGTCTCCACCTACCTGTTCCATCTGACACCTGGCAGTGGGTGCAGAATGGATGGACCAGGGTACCTGGGCAGCAGGTCCAGGTCTAGCTGTAGTGATGCTTCTGGCTGCCACTGCCAGCAACTAGGAAGCAGAGTCTGGTTGCTGTGCTGCCCCAGCCCCACTGTGTGCCTGGTGCCAGTGAGATCAGCAGCACATGCCATGAGTCAGGCTGTCTCCCATGCCTGGGGCAGGTGGGGCCATTGCAGGCTAGATAAAATCCTTTGGGCTGGATCTGGCCCGCAGGCCATATTTTGCCCATCCCTGCTCTAAGGTGTCATACTGCCCTGCCTTCTGCCTAACTACCTCTCTGCTTTTTCTTCATGAATTGCTCCCCCCATGCTTCTCATACCCCAAACTAAGCACTAATTCAGTGTCCTGAAATGGGATTAGTTCTATTCCAAACTAGTGTGTTGGCCAGAAGCATGAAGTGGCTTTTTCATCTCCTTTTTTAGCTGCACTTCTGTATCTTAGGGAGGGAGAGGGGAGGAATTGGTTCCTTTACTATGGGGGCTGTTCTGTAAGACTTCTGCTGCTTCGGCTCTATGCTGAGGCATTCATTCCTGAATGGATCTGCACT